ATATTTGACAATTCTTCTATGTTAGTATGTAATTGTCAACTGTCAATTTTATTCACAGTTAACAAATAACGGACGATTGAAAAAACGACCCTAAGTAGACAAATATGTTGTAAAATATCCATTAATTGACACGAAATTTATTTCCATTCTCAATACTAAGTACCAGGGCTCCATACGTCTGAAGAGCTACGACATTACATTCGACAGCTCTTGTAACCAAAACTCAGTGAAGCAATGTAAAGGGGTGCTCAGAACTGACATTAATATCAATTACCACTGCGAACCAGCTTTTTGCTTAATTACTTTTTACTAGGAAGCCTACAGAACAGACTCGTTCACTCTGTTCGATTAAAACATTGATAACTGTTCCATTTAGTTTTAGCGAAGTATTTTATTTTCGTACCTTTTTATATGTATTAAGTCGGCGCCAGACATATCCGCACTTGTTTGGTCACATGTTCACATTGTGTGGCATGGATAAAATGGCATCAAATCTCCGTGACACTTAAGTGAACAAATAAATGCGCACATTAGGCGCCTGCATTAGGCCTGTGATTTATTTAGTCGACTAAACAACTTTAGATAATTATTCGCTTTAATATGAGGTCAATTAGTTTGTGAATCAAGACATACAATGGATTACTAGATACTTCAAATGATGCTCAAACCATAATGTAGATAGATTTTAATTATGATATCTCAAGTATTCACATTTCAACTGTCACTGTTATTGAGACCGTACGTCTAACTGTCTCATTTACTTACTACACAATTTAATTTAGTACACTATTATGACTAAATCAAACATACAAATGTCATTAAAATTAAACAAATTAAACCCTATTTTTCGGTTGCTTTAAAATACTAAAATTCCAGCAACAAAAAATTGTAATTACGAACCATTGTATAGAATAGAAAGAAGAGAGTTTATTCATAATTAAATAACAGCCGTCACAAAAACAATACAACGTACAGGTTGTTTAATATACGGTTTAAATCTAAATACATGTAGGTATAATATGTTTCGCTGAACCCATCTCAAATGCAAACTTCATAAAATTAACATTTGCTGGGTATATAAATAATCCGGGCCGGAGAGCCGGGGACGGCTGTCGGAGCACGGTGTCCGATCAAACATTAAAGATATCGGGTGTCGGTGAGATGTGTACACTGCACCGCAAACCTATTGATAAACTGCCGTACGGTGGCCGGATGCCCGGCTGCACGTTTGCACGGTTCGTCTCCGGTCTCATATCGAGGGTGCTCCAGTTTCGTGCGCCTCGAGTGTACGGATTAGAACCGTCGGGATACAATACTGAGACACGTACATATTGATCTTTGCCTGTGCGATGACAATGTACGGGTTTGCCAATTAAACAATGTGGAGTGATCTAATGTACAGACGTCTATATGTTAGCTAATACAATACTTGAAGCATAGAAAGGTACTTAAACTTACCCCTTTACTTACTGAAGGACGCAGAAACTTACAATTTTAGACTTGACTACAATGAAGCCTAGACACATGGGTCCATAGCACCTACCCTTGTCAGGTTTTAGCTTCAAGTATTCGTTTTATTAAAAAAATACCCTAAAAATAACACCTTTGTTTCTACTGTGACGCTGTTTACAAAGAGAATGCATTAACTCCAGCCCTTTACTTAGACAAACTAGTCAGAAAGCAGGCGGTACATAGTTTTATCCGGCGCTTGTTTTTGTCTAGTTTCAGCCTAATTGTAGGAAACTAGGAATACCATCTGCTCGGATAGGATGCTGGAGTTCGGAACAAGGCAATTAGGGCGTTTCTTTAGAGAAGTGTCGTTTGTACAAGTGGTATAGCTGCTTTTATAGCTACTCATTTGGGCGTAGCCTCAGGTTCCCGGGGAGTAATGAGAAAGAGTAATTAATTGGCTTTTATTAAAATAATAAATTCCTTCGACACGATTTTTTTGAGGCAGCACAAAGAAGAAATGGCTAATACCTTTGTAATATAATTAATTTCCAGTTTAATTATCTAGGTGTCGTGTCAAAGACCTATAGAACTATCTCCATCTTTAATTAAATCGACACAAATGAATTTAGCAGCCATTACATGAGACAATGCGGTGACACTAGCTATTGTACGGCGCTCGGTTCCACGCCACGTTTGACAAATTACTCTATAATTGTTTGAGCACTGATTACACGCCATGCCACGCATATTGTGCTGTACACAGCGAAATAGGTTAACGATAAATTGTTTCACGAAGCCTAAATTTTAATACTGGCTTTTAGTTGTAGTATGACGAAAACATCGTGGGTATGATACATACCTATCTACAATATTGGGACGCGCACATAAAGCATTATATAAGTCAGGGCCATCTCAGAAACGATCAAAGATTCTAAGAACTACTAATATTAAATGCAAAACTTTTTATAAAACCGCCGCAGTTTATGAGCATTTGTCTTCAAGAATCGTTTTATATGCACGCTCTGTGCATCGAATACTTATTGCAAATACATCGATAATATAATTCCAAGATGTCTGCTATTGTCTGGTAGAATATATAGGATTACAGAAATAGCTCTTAGGCTTCGAGCCGCCATATTGATTGGGAACAAATTACCACTAAGTAATTGTAATCTGAAATCAGTCAGTCATTGTTATCGAGTGCGCGGGGATCTGATTGAGTGTTATTGATTATCTACTAGACATATCTACTATTATTGTAAACTAGCGTAGCTATTGTAAAATAGTGTAGACATTTTCAGATGATTTAAATAAAAATCTTCACTAGTAAGCTTTTCACTTCAAAGTAAAATTTGCCACAAAAATACAAGTACCTATTCTAGATTAGCATTTAAAAATATCACAAAATGGACTAGTATTTTCCTTTGTGCAGTGTTCGCATCGCAATTTGAGCAAATTTGCATCCGCACGAGCGACCGCCGCCACCGTCAGCACAGATAAGCACTAATATCTGGCGAATGGACGCAGCACACTCAACAAAAAATACAGAAGGTTAACTGGAAACTAGAACACGGTCATTAGTCATTTGGTCGTCGGTAATAAAGAGTTAACGACATGGCTGTTAAAATCTGCAAGTTTAAGTGGCAATGAACATGTCATAATGCTCGTTTAATAACCGATATGGTGCAAGAAAGTACTCGAAAGGTGAAAATTGGAAGACGAAGCGTGGGCAGGCTGACTGGTCTACCCACGCCATGTTTTCCAATTTCCGTACGACGCTGATTACGTCATGAGTAAGGAAACTAAACTCTTTGCGAAAAGGTGAGGCGGAGGAAGTGTGAAGCAAAATCAATTAACATGAACAAAATCAATTAACAAGGACAAAAATCGATTTTCGTCCGTTTGTTTGTACCTTCTACATGTTCCTGTGTATTGTCAGATAATGTACTTGTAGCTATTACACATCTAGCGAGATGCAGGACGTGTGCGAACATAGAGGACACGTGGAAATCACTAATGTATTGCGTGTGGTTTAATGGCGCCAGCTCTCGGCTACAATTCACTGTTTAGGGTTAATGGACGCGCTTTGTGCGAGCCCTGACCAGAGACCACTGGTTTGAGAGGTACATTTTGTAGAATGGATGAATCTCTCTTAAACCATTTCTAGGAAGCTATCATTTCAAATGAACATGTTGCTTTGAAAGCAAACCTTTCTATATATACGTGGTAGGTATGTCTGTACGTGTGCCCACACTAGTTTGTTGTATATCAAAGTTTTACACTTTGATCGTTTCTGTTTAAGTTGTGTGCGTAAAGTCCAAACCTTTCCCTAATGTTCTAGAAACTTCACGAATAAATATTTCGATAATGTACAATATGATTTTTGTCAAGAGAACATTTTAGTTCAATTAGTATAATTAAATTGAGTTTAAAAGTATATAAGTTCCTTTGAAAATACCTAAAGATTTTCTTTCCAGATTTATAAAGCAAGGTATCTCCATGAACCTAGATACCACTGGTATATATTTTTATAACATTATCAAACGATACAAGTCAGCAACTGATTCCCGCGAGGGTTTTTATAGTTGTCTGCTCCAGCAACAAGCCACGAAAATGAATCTTAGATTACACCCGATGCGCTAACGAATCTTACATTACAGTTAGTATCTTACAGTGTTTAATCAGTACGAGATGTTGGATATATCTAAGTTTAGAGGAACACAAGATTTGTCCTTTAAAAACTAGATCACAGAAACCGTTTAGACAAACAATCTATGACAGGACACGAGTTCCAAACAACAATATACATGTTTAATGTGCTAAATCTCCAGTACACCACACATTCCAGTGGAATCCAGCTAACTGGCAACAAATTTAAAGTTAGTCCAAGTTGGCCATTGAAGTCATAAAGTTATGACGCGAGTGCCTGCAACAGGAAAAACTTGGGCAAGTTGGCAAGTTTCGGTGCACGCTAGTTACGAAACTTGGCAGCCCCTGCGCTTGACGTGTCGCTACACTATACACTACACGCCTCGCGACTGCATTTTTGGAAAACTTTGCATATTCCTCGAAAGTATTTCACGAGACTCATTCGCCGGAGCCTGCAGAGTAATCTACTTTTGATTTTGGAACATATTTTTAATGGTAGAAGGATTTTTGTAAAACTACCACGTTGAAACTCGTGACATACTGGTGGGATGGATACTTAAGGTTTTCGTTAGTATATTACAGTAATGAGATAATAACATTTAGTAATTTGGAATGATATTTTAATAGTCATTTAGTAATCCCAAACATTAAGGTGAATCTTTAAGTTTTTTGTACCTAATAGGATCACTTTACTTACGATAATTTAATTAGGTGATTAGGTAATTATGACGAATTGCAAATTGAAAATAAATGATATTGTTTGGTATAAATATTAATTTACCGTACATGTTCGACTATTCCAACTTGGAAGTTTGCGAATAATTGGTGTCGACAGTTTATCCGTCAAAAAGCGTACTATTGCAGTGTTTTGTGGCACCGAGAGTATTACGGTTGAGTCCATGTCCATCCAGAATTTAATTAACACATTTGATCCTTTTGCGGATGTTGTCAAGAGCTTGGAGGACGAGGTCCAAGATGGACTCGTGCACGTGCGGATCCAGCAGAGGAATGGTCGAAAAACTCTGACAACTGTGCAAGGGCTCTCATATGAATATGACTTGAAGAAAATAGTCAAGGCATGCAAGAAGGAGTTCGCGTGCAACGGAACCATCGTGGAGCATCCAGAGTACGGCGAGGTGCTGCAGCTCCAGGGAGATCAGCGACAGAACATCTGCCAATGGTTGGCGAAAACGGGTCTCGTCAAACCAGAACAGTTGAAGGTGCACGGTTTCTAAGTTTCTAGTTCTGTGCTGGCCGGGCGCTCAGCCGCTGTGTCAATTGTGCAGTGTATTTGATGTATGAACATTAAATTTATTATTTAATATCACTCAGTTTTTTTATTTCACTGTTTTCAGTCAATTTTTCACAAAGTCGTCGAGTGTCATGTTTCTGAGAGTATAACAGACAGCTTGTCGATCAGTCTTTGAATAAATTAACGATAAAATCAGTGTCTAGTCTTCACAGTTTTAACGAACATTATTAAAAATTCGCCTCCCGAGAAAATGGTGCTTTTTTGATAAAATTACATTCCCTCATCTTAACGAATGCCGTATTAAAGTTCTGTCACTCCTTGGGGAAACTAGCGTAAAGAATTATTTACATAAGTTTACCGGGAACAGTGACGCGATAATACATGAAGTCCCAGGGAACATAAAGACTGGTTCCGAGATATAAAGCGGAGTTCAATGACCGACAGTACATAAAGCGTACATGTTGTGTACTGTAGCGGCAATAAAAATAAATAAACGACCACTTCACACTTCCCCACATTTTACGGCGACCAATGAAACTACATAAAACACTACATCTAATAATATTGGCATTGCAACATCATCTATTGGAACATTTTAAAAGACCATTAGAATCAATCTGATCATCACCTAATGGAAAAGAAACATTGAATCTTCTTACCACCAGGAAAAGATGCTATACTTTCCAAATATTGCCATCGGACATTATCTTACCCTTATTTGCGTAAACCGATTTATTTACCTTAAAGAAGAGAAGGGTAGACACGTTGGTAGAACAGATGTCATCTCCGATGCAATAGTAAAACTTTTAGGGACAGTAAAACAGCATAAAAGAGGGTTAACATGCCAAATAGTATTAAATGTACATTTTTAGATTAGAAAATCCGAATAGTATTGCTGAGTTAGGAATCAGTACTCAGAATTTGGACTTGCGACCGCACTATGATTTGGGGTGTACCTAATTAAACTTGGTTCACAAGCAACCGTTGCACTAGTACACCACTGCAGTTAGGGTCACTATGTAAAACCCCTAAAGTTTCCAGTAAACGTTGAAGGTGAGTTTTTACTGTTATCACCGGGTTCCCGGTTATGTGGGTAGGATTGAGGTCCGGGCCGAAATGTGGGGCGATGGCGGTTAAGAGCAATCCCTTGTTCGCTAACCGCTTTGTTTACAAACTGTCACCTACACGAGGCGTTCAAAGAAACGACATTTGTTGATAAACCCATAGAGAACTGTTATTAGAAATACTATTCCGCAGCCTTCGATAACTTAACCATAATAGTCCTTAAAGGTATTTAAGTATTAAATAACTAAAGAATTATAATTACTATATTTTCTCTATCATAACGGTACAGTCTTCCACGCTGCAAGATGAATAAACTAATTAACTTTGCCCCCTGTATGAAATTCTCAGCCTCCCAGGACCAGACGGAGTAGTGCCTGTCGTATAAAATCCATGTAAATATATTCTTCTCTAGTAGTAGTGAAGGGTAACAGAAATTATTTACAGCACTATTACATGTGCCATTACGCCACCATTATGGTCCCAGCGCCGCCATTTTGATGCCGAATTACATTTACTCGATTTAATTTAATAGCACGCGCAGTCGCTTTCTCCACTTTGACTTGTAATGGTTGACTTAAGGTTCTCAGGCTAAACCGTGCAATTACCTAAACTGCTAGCTATTTTAATGAGTCCCACGGTGGGCGCCAAAATAGACTTGTGCCTTTTGCCCTTCTTTTGCGAAAACATCGACGAACTCGTATAAAGTAAAATTAGTATGATATGATTATAACGTGAAAGTTTCGTACAACCTACTAGGGTATTCAAGTCACTAAGTAAAACATGTTGTCATCTAGTTTTTATTGTGCCCAACTGCTTTCAACAAGAACTTGTGTAGCGCGGTAGCCCAGATTGCGGCAAAAGGGAATCTTACGCAACATTATACGTACACATTTTCCTGCGAATAAAAAGTCTTATTCATAACAATTTTCATGAAAGGCTCGCGTGGAATACTAAGCTGGATGAGAGTGAGAGCGTCGACTGTGGCTCGTTATTTTGGAACAAACGTGGCACAAGTGTTTCACGGGGCTAATGTGAGTGTGTGGATGTCACAGTCTACGTGCTGCTGGGATCCTCTAACACATTGTCACGACAGATGGCTAAACTTAGTTGTTATTTTAACATAGACCAAACACTCAGCCACATATGCTCTTATAATATTTTTTCACGTAAACTAACCTAATATAAACTCAGTTCACCAGTGAAGCACTCTAAAAGCCACCTGAATGGCGAACTAGTAACGTATAAAGTGTAGTGAACTTTCACGTAATTAATATGCGGAGAGCCAGCGTTGATAGTAATGAGGCACTAACTGACGTCACTGAAATAAGTTCAGCATTCCCAGCGTCGAGTGACGTCATAATGTGGTACAGCTTAGATTTAGTTAGATCAACTTGGATTTTCATTTCGTTGCTGCAGTTTTGTTTTATTAGAGACGTACACAGGTACTCAATTTTGGAGGTTATGCAGGTAGTATTTTTTATGAAATGCCAGTTGCAGATTAAATTATTTATTTTTCTAAACACAAGTCTTTGGGCTTGTCCCAAGCATGTTTCGATAGAACATAACAGGTTGGTTTGGATACTCCTTCTCAAAATGTGTAATTTTTCCACCACCAAGAGAATCTACTATTCAAATCATTGGCTCATCCAAGTTTAATAAAACTGACTAATTAAGTCAGTTTAGGTAAACCTCATAATATTCTGAACAAATAAACTTCATAATAGGTGTCTGGTTTGTATGACGTCAGTGTAGAAAAGTTATAATCACCCGACATCAGGCAGCAGTACATGAGTGTACTGTTAGTTTCACTATGTCTACAGTTCCGTTGTCCTCGGAACACAATAGATGTCAGGCAGTGACAGAGTTAAACAGGATTATAATATGTTTGTCCTCATTTCGTTAACTTTTGACTTTCAAAACTGGTTAGTTTGTAGCGTATCAGTGGCACCCAGCTCTTAATTAATCCACAAAATGGTTTTCAGTTTTATGTTTGTTAACTTTATTAAATGTGTTTGGAATACTTCGGTTCTGAATATTGTTGGCTAGACTGTATAAAAACTGGAGAAACAATAACAACTTGAGGATTTCAACTATTACAGACACAAATGTGAATCAAAATGAACGTAATCAAATACGTTAATATGCAATATGTTAATATGCTAGCAATGATAAATCAGTTTTTTGTCTGATGAAGCAGCACAAAAAAACACCTAAACGGGTGCTAGCAAAACTAGACCAAAACAAAAATTATAATTTACCACCCCAGGTAAAACTGCCAAAAAAACCCCGGCGTAGTTTTACCGTCCTAATTACTACACTACAACTATCTAGTTGTCCAAAACGGTAGTCTGGCAGAAATCCCAACTTTTTGCGGGTAGTCGTTGAAAGTTGTTCTCATTAGTGGGCGCTGAGCTAATGTCCACGTGTGACGGACATGTTTACTAAATAACCTCTGGTATGGAAGGTCCGAGGATATGCCGAGGTCGAAACTAACAAGTTAAATATGTATTAGAGGCAGAGGAAGAAATTGGTTAATTATGCATTCGATTTGATACAAGACCGTTGCGGCATTTGTTACAGGTGATTTGTTTTGGGATATTTTATTTATCCACCGAATAAGTCCCAAATTGAAGTACATTTTTTTGCCAATAACATTATACTGTTATACTGATATTAAGTTCCTTTTTTTATATATTTGATGGGCCGACGTTTGACCACTATATCGCCCGGTCGTAAGCGATGATACGGCCTACGATGAACACGTCTGCCTATAAGCAATCCTTTCACTCGGGCCTTGAAGACACCCAAGTTCCCAGGAAACACAGAATATGGCAAATGTTCCACAAGCCAAATGTTAAATGCGTACAAAATTATGCAACTCATTCCACATTCAATTCCGTAAAAGTGAAAAAGGGACGTTCAGTTCTCTCCAGAGGAATAATCTGTTACATTACATATTTTAAATATTAACATGCACTTTAGATATTGCTGTGTATATACTGCACGATGCCGGAAACGGTATGTACCTGGAACAAATGAAAAAGCAATCATTAGATTTGGGAAGATAATAAGCACATAACAAATTCATTGGGTTCACCCAATGAAAATTCCTTCAGGAAAACATCGTTAAAAAGCCTGGATTTATAATTTCAAATCATAAGTTTAAATTCGCCACCCCGTTTTGAGCAAGCTTGGTGATTCATCCTTCTTCGTGTGAGAAAAGGCCTTTTCTCAGCTATAAAAGAAATAATATATAGGCTAATAATGATGATGAATAAATTGGGAAATAAAAGTATGTTCAGTAGAGAAGCAAGTAACATAAAGTTTAAATTACAATGTACAATATTAAACAGTAATAGTCTCATAAGAACTCCCAAGAATTCAAGAAAACCGCAGAAATTTCAAAACCCTATCGCTTACTGTAGTGAGACAATAAACTTTACGATCTATTTATATTACATCAAAGTTGAAGTTCCCGGCATAACCTTCGGGACCCGTCGCCAATATACCATATTTAATAATCATACAAGAGGTAATATCGCTGGCGAGTAATGAAACACACATCAAACGGGTCCCGGGTTATTGCCACGTTTACTGTCAGACCCCGGTCTGAGTGGCAATCACATCTTAAACACCTTTCTTCTGATGCTTACGACTTCGCCTTAACTTATTGCTTTTCTTCATATTCAGATTGTATGCCTTTGAAAAGCTGTCAAACATATCGATTCCTTTTTTATGATATGATTTCGATTATGTGCTAATAAAACCAACATGTTCATGAAAATTTTCTTCAATCAAAATTCGATGAAAGGTGTTATTGGGAAAAGGGATCCAGATTACGCAATATAAATAGGTTTTGTATTTGCATCAGCTTTTACAATATAAATAATGAAGAAAGAATGTCTATTCATTTGTATT